AAAAAAAAAAAAAGATAAAGAATCTTATATAACACAGTCTACAATATGTTGTTCTTCATCTCACTAACACAAACCAACCAACCCTGTACCGTTTCCCTATTATCCATGGTCCCCAGCACCAGACAGTGAGGAATCTGCTCTCTCTCTATATATAGATCTGCCTTTTTGCACACTTCATTTAATGGAGACACATAAGTGGTCTCTGTCAGTTAGCGTGCTGCACACCTTCAAGATCTGTCCACATGGCAGCAAGCAAGCTTCGGCGTCCCTCTTTTTTGTACTTTTATGAACATCTAATGTTGTACTGTATGGCTTTACCACATTTTGTGTATTCACTCAGTTTTAGTCTATTACAAATAACACTGCAGGGCTGGTGAGAACTTAGCAGATTAAGCGCCTGCTTACACAAGCGCAGGAACCATAATTTCAGTGTTGGGGAGGCTGAAACAGGAGGATCAGTGTGAGTCTGAGCTGTGCCACTGTACCAAATACATTAAAAAAAAAAAAAAAAAAAAAAAAAAAGCTGCTGAATTCATGTATGAGTTTCTGAGTGGAATAGGAGTGGAACTGCTGAGTCTAATGCTAACTCTATGTTTAACTCTTTTAAGGAACTACCAGTTTTCTAATGTGGCTGCAATACTTTACCTTTCCACTAACCATGTGTACGGTCCTGACTCTTACTTACTCACCAGTGATTGGCCAATAACTACCTTCTTTATTTCAGCTGTTCATGTGGCTTGAAAGCAGGATGTAATCACAGCTGTGTTTTGCATTTCTATGCTGTCTAATGAGGTTTGGCCTATTTTTCTGTGCTTATTGTTAATTTATATACTTTCTTTAGACAAATCATTCGACTATATTTAAACTATGTTGTCTTTTTATTACTGAGTTAGAAAAGCTCCTAGTCAGACCTGTGATCGTTAGTACCTTCTCTCATTCTCTAAGCTGGCTTTTCCGATAGTATCCTTCGATGCACAAATATTTACAGCTTTGATTAAGCCCAATTTATCCATCTCTTCTTTGGTAATTTGTGCTTTTGGTGTCATATCTAAGATGGTATCAATGCCAAATTCGAGGGCACTGAAGTTTACTCCTATGTTTCTATATACTGTGAAGGAGTTCAACTCCAATCCTCTTGTTTGTGGATATCTAGCTTTCCCAGCACAATTTGTTGGAAGACTGTTCTTTCACCACTGGATAGTCCTGACACATTTGTGTAACACCAAATGATACAGTTTGGTGTGGGGTCCACGTTCACAGATTTAACTAAACATGGATCAAAACTATTTAAAAACAATACACATCTACAGACTGTTTTCCTGTCATCATTCCCTACACACTACAGTTTAGCAACTATTTACACTCCATTTATATTACTACTGTACATTACATTACTACTGTATTATGGGTAATGTTGACATCGTTTAAGGCATACTAGGGGATACTGTGCAAACACTGTGCCAGGAGACCTAGTGCCCAATGCAGACTTTGACATCTACAGGGCATCTTGGAAGCAACTGCCCACAGGCAGATGTAGACAATTTGCCTCCAAAAAGGATATATTCATTTATACTCATATCACAAATGTAAAAGAAATGTACTGTATTTTCTGTAATGCAGTACTAGATCGTTTTAATTCTTAATATATTTTGTGGTAAAGGGATATGATTATTATGAAGAAATTATTTTGTATATTTCAACCATAGCTCTTTGCTTATATACCTGTAGCCTCAAACTGTCCTATGAAACTCATTACATGAATCCACCTATGAGGGGACTAGTCCCGAATATACTTCTTGTGTTTGATGCAATTGTTCCAATTAGGCAGTGTGAAAAAATAGGAAGTTGAATGTAGGTAATAAAAAAAAAAAATAAGTAAATACCATTAACAAGTATTACAATTTTTGATGTAAAAAACATAGGCATTACTTCAGGATTTTCGACATGGAACATAAAATGGAAGCAGTCAGCATTTTCAACATTCCAGACAAACATCTACAATCACTGTTTAGTTAGCATATCAATGAATCAGTAAATATATACAGAGAGCAACCAAACAATGCCAGATATGGAGGAGGTACATGCTTGCAATCCCAGCATACTGAAAGGCTGTGGTATGAGGGCAGCAAGTTTGAGCCCAACTTAGTGAGATCAGCTCTCAAAATAAAAAAATAACATTAAAAAAAGGTTCAGTGTGAAAGCCTTGGGCAGTGTAAAAAAAGAAGTATGCACACACTATACCCGATTATAACTACTTTAGCATTATATGGGCATATGAAAGTGGAAGTAATATGGGTAATTTTCTCCTTTGACTTCTAAATTTCTTGTAACTTTCAGAACTGAGTCCCTAATTACATACCATGTTCATATAATGCCATTTTACATTGAGAATATACTTACAGTGATGATGCCAATTAGTTGTGTATAAAAGAGTCCAGTTATTCCAACTAACATGGTAATGCCCATAAAGGCAGCAAGCCTCATAATGGCCAATTCGTGTCGAAAAACGAAGAGGTCCTATAAGAAAAACAATTTAAAGAGCTGCTTAGTGTTTTCATAATCATCAAAGTTGAACTATAACACATGCCATTTATTATCTTAAAGGAACTAATGCCCTCCCTCTTTTTTGAGGGCATCTCATTTAATGTGTAAATACCTCAAATCTGAAAACTAAGTTTTAAATATACAATAGAAAGTTGAAAAATAGAGGGCATTTCACTAGGCATTGCTGTAATCTCAGCATTTGGAAGGTCATGGCAGGGGGAGCACCACAAGTACAAGGCAAGTCTAGGCTACACAGTGAGTTCCAAGCTAGTCTAAACTACAGAGGACACCCTGTCTCAAAAAAAAAAAAAAAAAAAAAAAAAAAAAAAAAAAATATATATATATATATATATATATATATATATTCATTCTTTTTTTTTCTGTGCCAAAACCCTTTCAATATCAGGGTTCCAAGTTGCTCTTATCTGTTTTTGAACCTTCTGTGCCTATCAGACAAATCATAGATGTATGCACTATTTGGTTTACAAATAAAATTTTATTATACTGCTAAAAATTCTGAATGCACAAGTATGAGTCATTTTTAACCCCGTATTTTTTCCATCCACCCCCTCACCCAGCATTGTGGAGGGCTGTGCTTTGTAGCAGAAATGTACAAACAGTAAAGATACAGTACATGCCATCAAAGCATGCAGTTTATTAAGGAGAAAACTGAGCCCTGCAAAATTCCCAAACCTGATATGTGCTACAGAGGGGATGAGCACCCAAAGCACTCCAGAAATAAAAACATAAATTTAGGAGAAGAAATAGAAATGCTGTGCAGAGGAGCTCACTTTACGGTTCAAGGCATGAAAATGAGTCTGAAAGTGAAGAGACAGTATGGAAGGACAGAAAAACAAGCGTTTCACTCACCATCCCTGTTACGAACCAAAAAAACGAGAGTAGGGACAGAGTCAAAGAATTAACATTGCTCTAGAAACCTGTTGCCTCTAAGCGCCTCAGTGAAACAGCCACAGCTGATAAAAGCAACATGTCACAAGAACCCTCAAAACACAAGCACTCACACACTTTCTTTCAAACTGACTTAAGGACTAAAGGTACTCTAGCAGCAGTATCAAAGCAGAGGTCGCTGAAGACAATGCACCTCGAAACAAAAGAACTGGTGCTTTCTGTGTAGCATGCTGACTAGTCTGAAGCAAACCTGGTTCTACATCTAAATCACTTAATTTTTTTAATTTTAAAGCAAGAAAAAAAGTGACACAGAATTTCAAAACAAGATGACAGGAAATTAACGATGGCTATTATATTGCATATTGCTATCCTCAAAGCAGTTGCTCAGTTTTGCAGATGCTGCTATGCAAAGTGCACCAAGACAAAGCGCTGGGTAGCAGTCAAATATCAGGAAATTGTTTCAAAGCATCACTAAAAAGATCCTAATTCAGGATCCTTATAAAACATACAAATAGTAAGACGGGACTAAGAGTAACATAAACATTAATTACACTAAGTTGTGCTTTGGTGTTATTTAAAAACACAAATTTGTTCCAACATAATACATTAAGTAACCACAAACATTTTGTGTTTCTTATGCATGATTTTACCTACAAGAAACTCTAGACGAACAAAGAACCTGTACTCTGATAAACCAAGGCCTGTAGGACTATACATACCACACACGCTCCTCACACACTCCTCATATATCTCCTACCTTCCTCAGTCTATCATGTGTGATCAATCAGGCCAACCCACATGTTGCTACAATTCACTCTCCAATTTTAGAGACCTTTGCATCACTTTACAATAACCCACCATGTACAACCCCTCTGAAAGCCCCTTTCAAAGAGGTAAAGTGCAACACTAATTAAGTCTATGTATTTCTTTAAATCATTTTTTATTTCATTTATTTGGTACAGGGTCTCACTACATGTTCAGACTTGTAGTGATTCTCCTGTCTCAGCCTCCCCAGTGCTAGGATTATAGGCATGCGCCACCACACCTGGTTTTGGTGGTCAGCACAGCATGCCCGGGGTCTGGGGCCAGCATAGCACGTGGTACCAAGGATCAAATCCGAGTCTTTGTACTTGCCAGGCATGTGCTTAGACTGCCGAGCTATCTCTCAGTCCGTCTATGTATTTCCTAACCATGTAACATATAACTGTGCTCCCATTTTCTTAGGTTATTATTCTTTTAAGTGTTATTGGCAAAGTTCTTGGGCGTTATGACTCTATTTTTTCATAAGACCTGTTTTTTTATTACATGGCTTTATATAGTGAAATGACTTTAGAACTATAAATATTATCTTAGAGCAGAGCTCACTATACTAAAATTACTATGTGATTTTTTCTATTTTTAAAAAATTATTAGTTTTACCAAGTAAAATTCATACTTTTCAGTGAAATTAAAAAAAATTGGTCAAATACAATTTATGAATGTCAAGAATGGTGATGACACTAAAAGATCTAGTTAGAGGAGGAAGGAAAGGGGGGAAAGATAAAAAAAGAAATGACAATGTGTTATGTACATGTACCAATTCCACATCAAGAATGCAAACATTATGTACTGCAAATACATACAATAAAAGGAAGAGGATTAACTGACAGATGCACGTTAAAAAGGATGAAAGGGAAAAGGGATGAAAAAAGGAATTAAGACGTACAGTATTCCTTTGCTGTTTCGTGGTTTGATTTTCGTGGATTCACTGTTTTGTGGGTTTTCAAAAACTATTAATTTAAATTATTTATCGTAATTTTTCACTATATTGTGGGATTTTGCAGTACCACACAGTATACATGCATTGTTAAAATTACGTAGGTTTGCAAGTTTAGAAAATGGTTAAGAACATTGGAAGTTCTTGATGGAAAATACCTGTTCCATGCTATGTTTTTAAAAGTGTGGAAAAGGTTTATAGAAGTGTGGGAAGAGTTTATAAAATTAAACACCTTAAAATTTATATAAACACTAAAATAAGTATAACGTAGACTGGGTGTGGTGGTGCACACCTGTGATCCCACTGCTTGGGAGGCTGAAAACAGGAGGATCACAAGTCTGATCAATGTAGAGAGACCCTGTACTAAAAACATTAAAAAATAAATAAATAAATATAACATCACAACTTTACTGATTTTCACTTATCATGGGGTAGTGCAACCTCTGCCTTAAGTGCAGGACCACTGAATTATGTGCATGTACCAACTCCCTACAAGGAATGCAAACATTATGTACTACAAATATGGACTAATATAGAAAATGATCTGGGGGGGAACTACCCGCTCGGGCCCCCCTCCTGTCCCTCTCTTGGACAGGAGCTTTCTTTCTCTCAATAAATATATTCTGCTCATAAAAAAAAAAAAGAAAGAAAATGATCTGGAAGGAAAAAGAATGCAGGGACCAAAGGGTTTAATCAGAGGTAATTAAATTAGATTTATTGTCACCACCACAATTCCATCCAATGCTGGCTAGTGCCAGGTTTATTTGGTATGATGACAGAAAGTGATTTCAATCCAAATTTTAATACTTGATGGAAAATACCTGTTTCACGCTATGTCTAAGATGTCTGATATTCAGACACAGAGTGAGCTTAAGCTCAACTGCCTATTTTATGGGTAATAATATCATTAAGCTTCTCTTCTGGAGGGTTAACAACTTAAGTTTGCAGACCAAAAATTAAAGAAAAAGAAGGGCTACAAGCCAACATTTTGGCCCTGGCCCTTCAAGGTCAGTGAGGACTCAGGATATAAGAGAAGCTGTAATATAACATCCTATAACTCAATGATGTCCCAAATTTTCTGATCAAGGAGATTATGGGGCCACAGAGGAATGTGATTGATGATGTAGAGTGTGCCTAAGGAGAGTCACATGGAGAGAATACATTCTCTCAGGCTTTCACAGAGAGCAAATTTGGTCAAGCAATAGCCGTGACTCATCCACATGGCTGACACTGACAAAGAATCTACAAACTGCAGTAGGGTTTCAGGATAAATCCTGAGGGGATTTGACTGACCTTGTCACATACAAAAGTTACATTTCTTGTTATATAGGTCTTGCTTTATCTTGGTCTTAACCATCCAGCAGAAAAGTATAATAACAAGGTATAAAAAGTAAAACCACATTAATATGCTGAGCTGTAAAGGGCTCAAGTCAACAACTGCTGACACTGCCAGTCCTATGGAAAACCCACTACTACTATGGACTACTGGACTATATTGGATTATTTGGTTGAATTCACACACCTACTATATTTAAATGGCAATGGAATTCCCATCTTTGACCAAACTAAACAAAAAAAGGGGATACAAATAAAGGACCATTTTGTATCTGTATATTCAAAATAGTTAGGATACATATACAGCTACTTTCTCTTAATTCAAGGAATAGAAAGATTTGTTCTAATAGTATTTGTGGACAGGATATCATGTCTGCATCTTATACTATGAATAACCACTCAGAATACAATAATTGGCCATGTATTAATTATTGAAACTGTCCTACTAATTGGTTTTGAAACCGTCCCATTGCTATTTCTAAATAAAATTAATTTTAAAAATTCAAATTTTAAATTCTTTTTTTTTTTTTTGAACCGGCGATTGAACTCAGGCCCTTGTGCTTGCTAGGCATGCACTTATTCTACTGATCTATCTCCCCAGCTCCAAATTTTAAATTCTGAAAACACAATTGTATTCCAAATTCACACATGTATAACTAATATCAATGCTGAATTTTGAGTCATTTAGTACTGTTTCCAGAGCACCTTTTTACTTCTGTCTTAACATATTTTGAGAGATTGTACTTCTAGATTTTAAAATTGCCTTAGGAAATTTTAGCAAAATCAAAAGGACTTATGTATTACTCAAGATCTTTACTACACAGTCAGTGTTAAGCACTGAGCTTGTCCACTCAACACTTGTATGATGAAGTCCTAACCTCCAGAAACTCAGAGTGCGACTGTATCTGGAGACAGAACCTTTAAGCAGTAGCTAAGTTAGCATGATGCCTAGAGGAGACCATGTGAGGATGCA